CCCACAAAGTAGAGCCAACGGAAAAGGGACTTGTTTTTCTTTGCCAAAAATCACGCTGAATGCCACACGCGCGCACACGCAGTGCGAAGCGAACTCCTGTCCGGGAATCAAGCGTGTGTGTGTGTGGTGATGCTTCTTCCCTCCGTGTTGTCTGATGTCAGTTTGGGTTCCAGCTCTCGGATCTGTGCGTTTCTAGAATGGCTCGCTTCGGAGACGATCTTCCTACCCGCTATGGAGGCGGCGGTCCAGCGGGCGCTGGGCGAGGAGGCAGCCGGCAGGGAGGCCCGCCGGGCGGCCCGAGGATGTACAAGCAGTCGATGGCCCAGAGAGCCAGGACCATGGCCATTTACAACCCCATCCCCGTCAAGCAGAACTGCTTCACCGTCAACAGATCCCTCTTCATCTTCAGCGAAGACAACATCATACGGAAATACGCCAAAAGAATAACCGAGTGGCCATATCCTTTCCTGAGTTTTACCGACTGTGGCGTGGCTGCGGGGAGTGTGTGTGTGTGTGGGGGGGTATTTTTAATTTGTTTTTTTTCCCCTTTTGCCAAAATAACACCGTCTTTCCTGCGGTCTTGCCCTTACCCGGAGCACCCCGCTCAGGCGCACGGCGCGGCAGGGCTGCGGGCTCAGGAGCAGACCTGCAGCTGTGCACGAAGTTTGCCGTTTTACAGCAGCCTGCCAGCCCTAGTGGCTGCTGTTGTGGTTAACTGCTGATTTCTCATTCATGAAAGAATGCAACGGGGGTTCGTTTCCTTAGCGGTCTTGTTTCGGATCTTTCTCCCCCCCCCCCACCCCGGGGCGTGAGGCTGGGGACACGGGACCGGTGCCGCTGTTAGGGTGGTGCCCCGGGTCGGGGCCGGTGGGCTTTCCGTCTCCGCCCTGCCGCTGGAGCTCACGCCAGCTCCCTGCTCTCCTTGGCTTTCTTGCCCGAGATGGTGCTGATTGAGGTCAGCCCTGTAGTGGCCGGAGAGGGGCTGCCCGGCCGGCGGGGAGGCCGTTGTCACGGGTACCGGAGCGGCTCCTAGCAACAGGGACAGGGACAGAAGCGGGAGCAGCCGAGCCCGACACCTCTCCCGGGGTCTGGTTCCCTTTGCTTACAGGCTCACGGGAGAGGAGAGCGAGGAGGGGTAACTACTCGACTCCTGGTTATTGCACTGCCAACTAGTCGGGCACTCGTCAGATCCGCTGCCTGCAGAGCGTGAGACAAACACCCCAGTGGCGATAAACACGCCCTGGCTTCCTAACTGCGTCGAGGTGGAACCTCGGCTGCGCATTTTTACCGTCACCACGTCGAATACTGTCTAGGGAAGAGGACGCCGGCAGGTTTCATTGAGTGCACCTCGCCGAATCGTGTGTCAGATCCCGCTTCACGTGGGAGCGATGGCAAAGAAGTCGGGACCCGCGCACAGTGCCCCCCCCCGCAGCGCGGGTGCAGGAGAGGGCAGAAGGAGGCACCGTCCGTGCCGTCCTGTACGTGAGCGGACACTCGCTCAGACGCACAGCGCTTCCCGCTGGGGGACGCGACTCGCGTGGAGCGAGCGGCGCTGCTCCTGCTGTCGTCACCGCGAGGAGCCAGCGCGCGACCCCTCGCCCGCCTAACTCCCCCCCCCGTCCTCCCGAGGGCGCGCGCCGCGGAAGAGCCTCGGGCTCGAGCGGCGGCGCCCTCTCCATGGTCCTGAACTCGCCCACGCGCCTCGGCCCCTCGCGGCGGCAAAATGGCAAAACCGCCTCATAAACACGGCCAGACACCAGGTTCCTGTGCGTGGGAGTGGGAGTCTGTGGAAAGTGCAGATCGATTCCTTGCGCCGTCAAACGGCAGACATTTATTAGACGTTAACCTGAGCCAAGTCACGAAAGCCCAGGGAGGCACGGCTGTTTTGGACAGATAAATTAATTCTGGATCAGGGCAGAGAGAGTCTAAAACACGAAGAGAGTACAGCGTGCCTCTAACAGTCTCCTCCTTGAGGGACGATTCCGCTAGAAGTGACTGACAAGCTGTCATTTGCCGATTCACTTCCTTAAATCCGGCTGGTGGCGCTTTCAGGTCCCCTGGAAATAAGCCGGCGTGGGCCGGCGAGGTATCGTCCATCTCCTGCCCCCTGCACCCCTCCTGCCTGGTGCTGTTTCTTCCTTTAGCACTGCGCTTCCTGCTCCTCTCGTGCCTTGGAAGACAGAAGGAAGGTCGTCCCCGGCAGACTCGAAAAAATACACAAACTCAGAACAAGTCGCTCTTCGTAATTCTTTGCATTGATCAGATTTTTGATTGATTGCTAGAAGCAACATGAAGCGTTTTTACTCGGTAGAAAAATGGAAGTTAGAGAGCGATTTATTAATCCACCGTTTATTAATGGTCTCATAGACTTCATCTATTAGTGGTTTTGGCTTCAGTGGAGCTTTTGATAAATTGTCTTATTTAAATGTGAATGCTTTGTTGCACGGCTTTGCCTGTTAACTGTTGTGCAGTGAAAGTTTGGAGCTGAAAGAGTGGCCCTGCAGAGGCACACGATCAGGATGATAAAGGAGTGGCTTTCTCCTTGCGAGAAGGGAAGGGTGACATGTCTGAAGAGGGCAAGTCCCTTCGGGTGCATCACCCTCGGCCCTCGGCCCCAGCAGGACCGGCGCCCTGAGCCCGGTGCTCCTCCGCCCCTGCTCACGCACGCGAGATGAAGGATTACAGGCGACAAACTGTTGCCGAGAGAAGCAGATGAGTGTCCGTCCTCACGGGGAGACTGATGACTGAATGCCAGTGTTGAGTCTCTGTCGATACGTCTGATTCTGGACGAGTTTCTTAATGATCAGTGGAGCAAAACAGGGTGGTGGGGGGGGGTTGGGGGATGGGCCCTGGGTTTCCTTCTCTCTCTGCTTCCTCCCGCCCTTGCCAAGAGACGTGCGGGTCCGAGCGTGGCCGCACGCAGCTGCCGGTCCCCTCCCGGAGGAAGGACAGCCCGCGCAAAGACGCTGCCTTGTGACCGACGGACCCTCCTCGCACCACTTCCTGTCTCTGTGCTTGACAGGGGCTTTCGTTCCCGTCTCTAGGCTGGTTCATTTTGACTGGCTGCGTGTGCCGACAGCTGCCGTTTGGCTTGTGCCCGTTTTCTTCAGTCCGGCAGCCCCCTCCAGCGAAGAAGAGGCTCCGTTTCGTAGTCTTCCCCTGTGTGCCGGGTGTGTCTCGGGCATCGCAAGAGCCTCTTCCGGAGGAAATGGAGAAGGGCGGGGGGGGCGCCGATTCCCTGTGGGGTGTCTGGGACAGGGGGTGGCTGAAGTGTCTGAGCTGATAAAGGCTGAAGTGAGGCTGGGGTTCATCAGGAGGCTCATTCGAAATTTCCACGCCATCACTGAAGATACATATGCAGAACTTAATTCAGCTAATTAAAACTGCACCAAGTGTTATGTAATTTTAAATCTTTGGTGAGCTCTCTTGTGCTGCGGAGACCCACTTATTAACGACGAGCTCTTTTTACACGGCACAGAGGGTAAAGTCTGCCCCGGTGTTTGCCCAGGCCCCTTGCCTGGCCGTGTGACCTGCGTGCCAGTGCGTGGCGTGGTGAGGGCGGGAAGCGACGCACGCCGCGGCGCTGAGAGGTCGAAGGTCGGCACCGGCTCTCCGGCAGGCTCGGAGCGGGGCGTTTGTCAGCCATGGGATGTGTCCTTCCCACAGACTGTCGAGACGCTGGAGGAAGGGAAGACCATGCTAATTTCAGAAACCCGGGAGGTTATTGAGAAAGCAGTCAGAGCTTGGGTGAAAAAAAACACTATTATTTAGAATTGCTCACATTCTTCCCTTCTTTTTATTCCTGTGTGTTATTGGCTGCTGTCTGTGTGTTTTATGCCCCCGGTTTGGCTCTTCTCAAAGCGCAGCCATGCTGTGTTGTCGCTTCTCGTGCTTGTTGCCTTCCTTGACCAGCACACTCCATTTGAGTACATGATCCTAGCCACCATCATCACCAACTGCATCGTGTTGGCTCTGGACCAGCACCTGCCCTCTGGAGACAAGACCCCCATGTCCGGGAGACTGGTGAGTGAAGAGTAACTCTGCTGCTGTTCCCACACGTCGCTTCATTTACGATTTTCTTTCTTCCTCTGAAGCATTCACGTTATAACAAAAAAGTGTTTCAATGGGGTTGTTGTCTGTACGAAAGTATGATTTCTCATTGCGGCTCATTATTTGTTTTCTAAACATATTAAACTCATTTTTTGTGAATCATAATGATATCTATGGCTTTAGCTATTGATGTGGCTTTTTTTATGATTTGCCCTGGGGAGGGGAACTGAGGAGGCCATCCGCCTCTTGTTAATATATAAAGAGAAAATACATTCTAATGAATACTCCCAGATCTATTGGAATATCTGTTTGCTGAAAGTCACGGTTAGTGGCACAAATTGAGGGCTGTGTATTAATCAGTTCAGCCCTTTTCTGTCAATACAGTAATGGTTTTTTAACGTGAGGGACAGCGTGATGCATCTTTTCTTGGGGGGTAGTGCCACCCCTTTGGAGCAGAAGACCCCTGCATCAGGGGTCACAGCGCCACAGATGTTGCCTCTTGAGGCCTCACTGCTTTTTCTAGTATGGCTGGAACTTCATAATGCATGCAATAGTCTTTCTGTTTACAGTGTTTGCTTTTGCTTTGGGCGTGGGCTTTAGTAGACTGTATGTGCTCTCGATACGTGCAGTGTAGTGTGAAAGTCTTAGACTTTCTCCTTTTCATGCAGAAACCACAAGTCTGTGACACATTTCTGTCTGACACCTGACAAAGGCTCAGCAGCCGAAACATTTTCTTCTCACCACAGTTCAGTGTTGAATTAACCTTTACCTGTTCCTTGGCATCCAACACACACTAACATGGCTCCCCACCTGGATCTCTTCAGTGTGTCTTGATCGCTTTCAGGGCATTGCGTCTTGCTCCCAGAAGTACCAGGCAGACAGAAAAGGGCTCCGGTGAAAGTCCATAAATAAAATAAGAGCATTTTTATATCTGTGCATAATAGATACCGAGAATCTCCA